TTGAAATTTGTATGGATATACAAGAAAAATAACAGTTAACCCTAGTCTTGAAGCAGTTAAGATTGTAGTGGTTGTGAAAACATCCTGCCGGCAGTCTGTTTCACATTGCAGTAATTCTTGGGAAAAAGCTGTTTGAATGGAACTTACTTCTTACTACAGTGTAACCCGGATATAAGAGAGTTGTCAGGACCAGAGAAGAATTCTCTTATATCTGGGTTTCTCTTATATCCGGGTTTGGTCTCTTTTATATACATTAACACAGGCTCTAATTTGGAACCAGAGAAAATCTCTCTTATATCCGGGTTTCTTATATCCAGGTTACACTGTATAAGAATATGGAGGGAATGGGAATGATTCAACCTTGTGTATGTAGCACTGTGGGTCCTAGTTGTAAAGGTCAGGGGCGGTGGGACTAAGGAATGTAGCTTGTCAAAACACATGTCATAGAAGTAGTGAGGGAGATATGTGAAGTTCACAATATTCTCTTTGTAGGAAAATGGTGGTAAAGTGAAAAATAATTCATCACACAAAAACAGCATAGGCTCTTTTGAACACTATCAAGACAGGCAAGTGAGGACTGGGCCACCCCCCAGCAATCCTCCATATTGATCTGACCTGATTCTCATGAAAGCCTTATTTTTTAATTGTGATCCATGATATTTACACGCAATCATGAAATAATGATCTGGGAGTTGCAATAAAAAGCAACTGAAATTAAGATAAAAAAATATTTGTCAAAAATGAATAATTTTTATATCATTATTATAATCACTGCCAATATTTTAACTTTTATTTTTAAGTGGTGAAAAATAAAAATATATTTTTATTTTTACTTTACTTTTAACCTTTAGAAACAAATCAAGGTATTTTTGGTCATAAAGACACACTTTCTTTGGAGAACAGTGTAAGGGGTGTGCTGGTTGTGTAATGCCTATCAGCATGGAAAATGGAATTGGTGAGCCGAGTTCAAAGTCTGGTCTAGTCAGTTGCTTTCACATCTGTACTACAAGCTTTGGAAAAGGCATAAATACATCTCTTTTCCTCCTAGCTATGGTCTAAATAGCAGAGTAGACTGGACTCTCTAGACTTGAGTAACAGCCAGTATGACTCAATTCAAAACTATGAAGAATGCAATGGGAAAATATTTCATTATCTTTCTCAAGAAAGTCATGACACATCACAGAGAATAAAGAGAATGTTGCAAGTTTTTATCAACCATATCACAAAGGATCATGGCATTTAAAAAAGAAAGAAAAAAAAAACTACCAAAAAACATGTATATATCTTGTGGTATGTAGTATCATTGATGCAGATGTGTGTGCTTTGAATCATTTTATTTCTAAAGAACATATTTTTCTATAAACGTTTTTTTTCTTTTACCTTGATCTGTAAAGCTTTTTTGGTGTTAAAACTCCAAGCCCAAAAAACATCATGATGCAAAAATGCATCACTTGACACTTTGTAGAAAGAGGCAGAATGACTGTAAAAGGTACATATTAACTTCATAGTTTAATAAATTTAATTTTACTTACCAAAATAAAGCATGATGTAATCTTCTATAGAAATTTCTAATTGTAACTCTTAACAAAAATGCTGATTATATTACATAAGGGTTGAAATAACTACACTAGTTTTAAATGTTTTAATATGATCAAAATAAAACATTAGTAATCTTATATTTGTCATTATAACTAAGAAAAATACGGATGTCATTATGTAAGGATTCAAATATTCATACTTGCAATGCATGTGCTAATATGATTTTATTTACCAAAATAAAAACTGAGTTAGCTTACATAACAATTTTTTATGGCATATCTAACAAAAATATAGATGCCTTCATATAAGGGTTCAAATATCGAAGCTAGCAGTAAATTCTTAATAAAATAAAAAAAAATTGTATTTTCCAGTACATTTTATTTTTTTTTTTATTCTGAACTGATTCAAAAATATTTTCAGTTGTTTTACATTGGCTAGTTCAAGTTATCCTCAATCATTTTATGTCCTAAAGCCATTATATAGAACTTTTAAAAAAAAAAAAGATTTTGCATTGCATTTACAACTCTGAGCCAAATCTCCTGGGCCGTTAGTTTTACCATGTTTTGTATGAGTTGATCTCTAATGAGCTAATTCTGTCAGGAAATAGTTTTGCTTCACTGACTTATAGCCTGACCGACAGAGCAGTACATTATGCTACAAATATTATGTTTTGAAATCTGTGCTATGGTTGATTTCATATGGCAAGAAAAGCCCACCTCCTGTTGTGATTTTTCAATTAGTATATTTTTGTGCAATATCGTTGGGCATGCATTGTACATAACGGACAGGATGGTAGGCGGGACAAAGGCCATAGAAATTATGTGATCATTCTCCTGTGTCCGTGTCTGGAAAGCCCCAAAAGATATCGCAAGGTGTCAGCCAAATTTTTATTAAGAGCAAGTAGGTGGTCCAGGATGTTTTTGATAAAGGAAACCGGAAAAAAGTATTGTGACTCTGAATAGAAAACAGTTGAACTGCGACAAACATTTTTCCTTTTAATATGAAAATGTTGCTTGTATACATGTCTGCCGGTAATATTCTTGAGTAATAATTCACATCTATATACATAAATAAAAAGCCTGATTGTTAAAAAACAAAAACAAAAAATGATTGGTAAAGGATTTGGCTCTCTCATTTTGTCACCCCTGCTGTGTTGGTGTAAATGAAATATTTGTGTATTACTTGGCTTAACAATACATAACGGCCAATATCAAAAACAAATCCTATTGAGAGTGTTGAAACTTGTTTTGATATTTCAATTTTATAAGACTCCTGCAGTTCAGGGTTTCATAAATAATTTAATTTCCTTATTTCATCATAAATGTTTTATTTTTTTTACGAAATAATTTTGTTGAATTGAGCTTTTAAAACCAGTTTAGGTCCTTTTGTTAAATTTTCTTTTTAACATTAATAACTAGATTTAGAATAATATTTGAAGTTTTGGCTGAAGAGAGATTGTGATAAAGTTCAAGTTGGGTACTGCAAAATTCTCATTCCTACTGTCTTCCCAATATCATTATTCTGACATTTCGTAATTGGAATACTGCAGTAAATTGGATTGCAAACTTTGGCAGAAGAATTAATAAAAATAAAAAGATGATGTTGAAACTTTCTGCCCCAAAATAATAGTGTGTCAAAAGTATGTTTTATTCCTTTGACACCATTATCATTTTAACTACCTTCATTCCTCTGCAATGTTTGTTTAAAAAATTATTGATTAGATTTTAAATAAATCCTAGACATATCATGAAATTGAATTTATATATTTTTTCTTCTTTATAATTTACAACAAATATATTAAACACTGTTTATTAGATTGTTTATTTACAAGAATAATTTTATATTTACAACATTCTTAAAACTAATCTAAATTATATTAAAAATAATGCAATATTTATCATTTTCCAATTTATAAAGAAATAAATATGAAAAAAATTTTATTAATAAATTTGTAAACATTTACTAAATTATTAATATATAGGAACCAACTATAAAGAAATCCTTATTACTTACCATTTTATAAAGTTCAAATCGATTGGTAATGCTGATGTTTTGCTAACCATGCCAATAAACGACCTAATAAATAAATAAATAAATACTGATTATTTTTTTTGTTGTAAATTCTCAAGAACAAAGAAAATGTAAAAATTCAGATTCATATGTTTAGATTTTATTACAATTATGATCATCACTTTTTAAAACAATGAATATTGCCAAGAAGTGAATGTAGTTAAAATAATAGCAGTTTAAAGGAAAAAAAAACTGTCCTTTTTGATACTCTGTTTTTCTTGCAGGCATGAAGGTCTAAGTTTGCCAATAAAAATAAATAAAAGTAAATAAATGCCACAGATGATATTATATAAAATACTTTTCTCTTGAAAAAGAAAAATGATTGGAAATAATTCATATTTTCCTGCTTCTTAACAATATCAAATATCATTAGAAACAAAGAAAAGAGTACTGAACTGTTATGTAATATCAGTTCTCTTATATGCCAGTGACTGCTGAACAATCTCCTTACAGATGCAGAAAGGCATTAAATGTTGGTCACATTTCAAACATTGCTGCTACACTCGTACTAAATTTTGTTCAGTGTTAATTTTGATATAAACGGGCTCAAGAATTTGAAGTTTTTGTCTATCATTTTCATGGTATATTATATTGGTGTTGTCAACAAGTATTTTTCCATATTGTATTTCTGTATTCTGTATGTACTTACTTTTTTGTCAGAGATACAATCTCCCCAAAAACATTTAAACTCATATACAATGTTGGTCTTTTCCAAAACACTAGTTGATGTAAAAACATTATTGTCTATGATTAAATTACTTATGTTAAATTTAGTATCATATATATAAATTAATAATTGGTAATTTAAATTGGCCCCAAAAGTAGATGATTTAACTTTAAATAAGAGAAAAAATTATTTTTTATTAGAAATTTTATTATGACAAAAACAAATTGTTTTATGATTAAATTTTGCTCTTGTCAAAATATCCTCCTTTAGCCTTGATTACTGCAGCACAAATTTTTGACATTTGTCACAAAACTTTTTCAAAGTATAAATTTGATAATTGATTCCAGTCTTTTTTTTAATTACTCTAAGAGCTCTTTTTCATTTTTTTTAACTCTTTTGTCAAGCTCATCCCATGCTAATTATGGAAGTAGCTTCAAACTTTTGAACTGCAGAATATATATATATATATATATATATATATATATATATATATATATATATATACTTAGGACATTTTACAAGAATACATTACCTCTTTCCTAAGAGTTCTTTAACTGCAAATTAAAAAGGAATATCTTGAAATAATACAAATTTGAGAAATTTAATTTTAAATTATTGAATTTGAAACATGGTAGTTTTCTCTGCTAGTTTTTTTTTGTTCTTTTTTTTTTCATTGTTGTTTACACTTGAATCTGTTTTTTTAATTATTATTGTTTCATTCCAGAAATAGGAGTGTCCAGTAAAAAACCAAGCACAGTAAGTTCTGTGAAACCAGAATATGGTCCTGATTTAAACGGCCATGGGCAGGTCATTGAGAGTTCTAACAATGGTAGAAAAAGACCAGATGTTTCAATTGTATCGTACAATTCGTATCACACCAAGACCACTCCACATGGAAGTGGAAGTGCTCACATTGAACGTAAGTAATTGATTTTATTGCTTTTATTTATGTTGAAGGTTTCACTCACAATGACTACATGGTATTTTGTTCACAAATCTATCCTTGACAGCCAGTCACTTCTACAAATGAACTGCCCTCTACTTGGAATAGGTTTTGTCTGTGTTAGGTGCTTTAGTTCGAATAAAACATTTTTATGACCACATTTTCTGACGCTTTTCTCTGTTCAAGAATTTGAAGGTGGCAGGCATGAACTGACATTCTGTTTTTGAACTTTGTATAATTCTAAGTAAATTATATAGTGCTTTTGATATACATATCTAAATATGACTACAATCTTGAACATTTTTCAGAGTAGAGGATGGAATAAAATTTGTTTATTGAAGTTGTTAAAGAGATATTTTCGTCTGGCACAGGTGATTTTCTTAAACCACACTGTCAGCCAAAAGAACTAAATTAAGGAAGACAAGATACAATAAGGAGATGCAACATAAGTACTTCTTTGTTGTATTCATATGCCTGTTACTTGTACCTAAGCTGAGTACTTCATCTAAGAAAGAGAATTTGTTGGAGAGAATGGGTAATGGAATCAACTGGAAGAAATATTTGTTGTAACTCTCAACAGGAGAGCTTCACAGACATCACTGTTAGTAAAGAGAGTTAAATTAAAAATGATTATGATAAAGACTTTTTATGTGAGTGTTGGTTCTGTTTTGCAAAGGTACAACTGATTTGCTTTCAGTACCTGATTCTTAAACAAAGTTAATTGAATTGAAAAAATTCTGAAATTTAATACCAAACTGCAATATATTTCTTTACATAATGTTTGCCTCATTTTTATCAGTGAGTAAATTTTAAATGGTAATATCAACTGTTTCCTGCTAGGATAACATTCAGCATTCATTGAACGAGCAACTAATGCTGCTTTTGTTTGAAATTTATAGAATCTTTCTATTAAAATAATTTTTCAGAATAATAGCTTTCTCTGGTTCAGTAACTGTTATTGTTCTTTCCAGTATTGATGGGTAAGGAGGGTCTTTTATAACTTTCTGTTTTAACATTTTGATTATGACATTGTTCTCTCCACAAGTTAGATGTGATATCCATTTTAGCTGTTGCAAGTCCTCAAGTGATGTGGTTTTGGTTATTTGGTAAAGTTCTTTGAGATTCTTTAGCACCAGTCTACAAGTTTCAAAGAGGGATGATCATTGCCAAGATGCTTGGGTTTCACTCGCTTAAAGCTATTTTTAGCCATTGATCTTAGAAAGCGGCAATTTCTATAATGTGTTTTTACAATGATTAATACAAACTGACCTGAAACAATATATTTTTTTTTGTTTCTACTATCTTTATTATAACTCTGCATTACTTTCAGGAATGTAATAGTTACTCATGCAGAAATTGAAATTGGTAAGCTGTGCTCAAATTCTGGCCAAAGCAATTGTATACACTTTCATATAAATGCCCTTGAGAATCTGGGTGAAATAGCAGGGCAGATTAGACTCTCATGCCTTGCTTGAGAACAAATCTGTGTATAGTGCAAACAGTCAATGAAAATGCATGATTTTTAATCTCTTCAAAAGAATTGTCTATGTATAGTGCCACTTCGTAATTTTTGCATAAAAACAGATCATAAAAACTTGCACTATACTTGAGTATATATGGTAGTTCTTGTACCTTAGCATCAGGGGTGCAAAGGAATTATCTGCAGTTTGTTTTAGTTCTTGCTGATATTCCAAGCTTTTGAAAAGATTCAGTCATCAAGAAAGAATATATTTTGTTAGTCGTTGGTTGTTTTAACGCAATATGGATAATTCATGAAATAAATAAAATGTGCAATCTTTGTTTATAGTTTGCTTTATTGAAAAAATATTATTATTATAGTAGCATTGCTAGTTGTTCAAGGAGGATATTATTTAGTACTGTGCATAAAATATCTATTATTATCCCAGTTTGTTGTAGTATTATTAATTGTTGAAGAGATATTTTCTTGTGTTATTTGCAACATGTGATTTGCTGGAGACTAAAAAAATCAGATATGTTCTGTCCCTATCGCATCCTGAGCATAAAAAGTGAGAAAAAAGAGAGAGATGCTTTGGGTCCTTTCTTTTATATACTTTTTGGCAATGCCATCATGTAAGCATTAGGATAATGGCAGACAACTGGGGTGATCCCACATTGTGTTATTTACAAGGAGCTATCTTATATTATTCAATTAATTTTTCAATCAACCCATTTCCCAAGATTAGTATTTCAATGAAGGAATAGCAGAGTACTAATATGTTTTTTATAAGTCTATCAAGCTGAGAAATTTCCAACATCCTCTCGTGTATGCATTTCTTTCATCTGATACAAGGTCACAAGTTTTAGTCGGTCACTAAGATACACTACAGTGGTTTGTGAGTCCATGATTGTTTCCTTTCGATCAAAACAGTAAACCCCAAAATAAAATTCTCTTTTGATGATTGCTGAAAAGCTAATTAAAATAGAATTCCTGTGTTTAGATTATTTTCAATGGTTATGATAGACATTCATTTTTGAATAACATATTTTCTTTTGATAATGACAAGTATTTAAATGACAGGAAATGTTATAAAAGAATAAATGAAGTGAAAGAGTTTACCTTTTAAATGCATCTCAAGAAAACACTTTTTTTTCACATTTACAATAAGTTTACAACTAAACTTAATTATAAGACAGGATTATTTTTGAAAAATCACATAATGTTCTTTAGATATGAATACTTAAATTTAAATGAATAGGATCAGCATGAAGATATTTGATTACTTGCTTTATAATGAATTCTTCTTAAACTGAACATTTTTTCAGATTCACTAAAATAAATCTTTAAAGCCAAAAATTATATTGCTTATAATAATACTAATTTGAATTTCTATGTATTTCTTGAACAGTTTATCATAGAAAATTAATAAATTTGGTACATTCTTGTCTGAATTTCTGGGATTTGTTTTTTTTCTTGTTTTTTAATCAAGTTAAGAAATTAATAAATTTGGTACATTCTTGTCTGAATTTCTGGGATTTGTTTTTGTTGTTTTTTTTTTGTTTTTTTAATCAAGTTCACCCCAAGCAAGTCATTAAAGTCACTGAGGCACAAGGGATTACTGGGTGTGAAAGAATTAGAAAACAAACATCACTAAGGGGTGAATGTAGAAGAATAAAAATCAGGAGGACAGCGATTGACATTGCATTTAAATTTTTGAAAATTTTAATCTAGTAAACATGAAGCTGGAAGGGAGTTCTACAAGCAAGAAGTGCATGAAAATAAACTTAGCACAGAACTTACAATTAAATTTTGCCAACTCAACAGTATCTCTATGAGATCTAATTGCAGTCTAGTACCATGCTTATATTCATAAAGTCTAGGTACCATAGTGAAGAGCTCATCTGAACAATTACCATGAAAGTATTTATAGAAAAGGCACAGGGAGACAATATTATGGCGGTGGGTAAATGACTGAAACTTAGATGCCATTGCTGATTCTTCTTTAGATTTTATCCAGGATCTCTAGATAGATAGCAGGAGCCCCACAGTGAGAGCAATATTTTAAGCATGGATGTATGGTAGACTTACAGATATGTAAGATAGATTCTAGAGAGAAGAACTGTCTAGCACAACACAGTGAACCAACATTCTTAGCAGCTGACCTAGCAATGGATTTATTATAGTCTTTCCACTTCATGTCAGGTGAAGAATTATCATTATTTACATGATTTTTATTTGATCTATTGACCTCATCTTTGTTCTTGCTATACATTCTCTTCAATGATATATTTATGTTGAAGCTGACACAGAATGTTAGTTTTTACACTGAAAACAAATGAATGATTAGTGAATGTTGTTTTGGAACAGATAGAGAGACCCCCTCTTTCTTTTTAGCAGGCAGTTGTCCTAAATAATTTGTTAGTTGTTAGAGTGGAGTGGACCAGCTTGGTGAAAGAATAGAGAGGTCCTATGTTTCTATTATTTATACTGAGGTCAGTAAGTTATTGGGGAGTGTGGTGAGTGCATTTGGGATTGTCCTTTGCTTTGGTAGTGGGGCTTTAATCTTTTATTTTGCTTATCCAAGTATCTGATTTCAGAAATAAAGTTAGCTACTTGACCTGCAGAATGTCAGTATTAATGCTAATGTGGTCATAAGAAGATAAGTAGATGACCCTTTTCGGGGGATTTAAAAAATACATTTATTTTTATTGATTAAACATAACTTACTAATATATACAGGGTGTGATGGGTAAATTGTCACCATTTTACATTTTCAATTTTGTGCATGTATGTTGTTTAGGATTTTGTCAACTGCACTGTATAATAGGGTCAGCTGGGCACCATCTGGGAGAAAAAGAGCATCATGATGCAATTCAATCCACCAGAAATTTGCAAATGACATGCTGTATAGCTTGGCATTCATACTGGAAGCTCTAAATTTAGAGTGCTTGGGTGTCAATCTGAGGACACATACAGAGGATTCAGAAAGAGTTGGATGAGTCTAATGATGATTATGAAGGTATGACAGTTCAGAAAACTCCCTCTGATCATTCTAATAAGAAAAGAACTCCCGAATTTGTTGATGAGGGCCTCAAACTCAACAGGAGTCAAGAGGGTGGCTGCTAGAAGACACTATGTCTGGCAACAGTACTCTACACAATGCCACACAAGCATGAGAACCAGTCATGGCTGTCAGACAATGTATGTGACCACAGCACCCCTTACATCTGGCCACCTAAATCCTCAGACTGCAACTGCCTTGATTATTATGTGTGGGGCCCAGTTGAGTGAGAAACCAACAAAACTTCTTGTAACACCAAAGATGAACTGAAGGCAAGGATTATGGCAGCATTCACCAACTTAAACAAGGAGACCATCCAGAATATTTGCAGGAGATTGTGAAGTCATCTAGTGGCTGTGTTTGAAGCCAATGGTGATTTTATTGAATAAATTTACTCTTTAGTATTTCAAGATATTTTTGTGTAATTTTGTTAAAATGAGATGTCAGTGTTATTTT